CCCCAGCAACGTGACGGTCAAGGTTATGGCTGAGTTCATGGAAGAACACGGACTCTTTATCGCTGCAGTCGCCGAAGAAGTAGTTGTGGTAGCTGTCGCTGTAGGCTGAGCAGTAGTCTCCTGCAAAGCTGGAGACATAGCCATTCCACTGGCGAGCCTTGATGGGGAGTTGGCCGACCCGCTGCGCAATGGTGTCGATTGTCATGGGCGAGTTGTTGCATCGGCAGACCGTGGTGGGAATGGCGCACTACATGTCAAACTCGAGGTAAGCACAGATCCTGCACCCACAGATAGGTATTCTTGACTTACGTCCGAGTATGTGATATCGTACACTTCGAGATCGTACGGGTTGCAGTAGTTGTTGATGACAGACGTATCATGGCAGAGCTTTGGGACAGTTCCCCATGGCCATTTACTCTTGGTGTAGGATGACCCGACCAGATTTTGGAGTCCGCCAGGCGAGTCCAAGACGTGGAGGCCGTTGAACTTTTCGCCCATCATTTCTGGAGGCCCGTCGGCCAAAACGGCCGGCACGGTGGCTGCAAGCAGCAATGCGAAGAAAGAATACTGCGGCATCTTGCAATGATGTTACAGTACGACAAATATGGCTTTTCGGTCGAGGGAGTAGGCTGCTTGTCGAGCTACGGTTCTGTGTTGGTCGTCGCTTTTCTCTTGGTGATCCCCAGTCCTTCTTATATCCCTTTCCTCGTCATTCGGGTGGGAGTTGGTTCACTAGCATCACTAGGTGTTGACACACACCATCGCAAACCATCACAGCCAACTCTACATGTGTAAGCGACCATCTGAGCCCCAATGTCTCCATCCTCTTTCGAAACAACGGCGTGAATGAGGCGTAATTACCATTCACAGGTGATATCGACCTTGTTTCTACCCCTGCGATGAACTTCGCTACGCCAACAATTCGGCATCATGGCTCATCGGGTTAGGACCCGGCGAACGATTATATGGGAATACAGAAATGTCAACCGTGGATTTTTCTGATTGTAAGCCATCGGCCGGCCATGTTGTCGCCCTTCCGGGCCAATATCTCGGTGTAAGCTGCAAGAAGCTGACCAACATCGCGGGTTCTGAGTAGCCGACCAACATTATAGATTGATTCTGATCAACTTCCAGCGCGATATTGGCCGATAGATCAGTCTCGGCCACCAACCTGGTGACAGTCTTGGGCCTCGCTCACTCATCCCTCTCCCAAAGTTGGCAGACGTCAATATTTCCAAGTCAGATTCAGCGCCGAACGGTCGGTTATACGGCCCATAGACGGCATCTGCCCGATACTGAGACAGAAAGGGGCTTCCTCGAAGGGGGCCCTTGGAAGTCCAGGGAATGGTCGACGATATGAGAAGTTGGCGCCCGTGGCAGCCTAATAAGTTCGTATCGAGCGGAAATACCGTCAACCAAGCCGAACGCAGAGACTGATTGCCAGAAGTCATTGATTCATTTCTGGTGTTCCAGATGACAAGATCTCTTGTTAGGGTCTGAGGCGCTGAGGCTGAAGTGCGCATGGTGGGTCACAAGCTACGGACAATTAGCCGAACGGGTATCGCTTGTCGCACAAAGGCTGTTATACCATTCGATATCCGATGCCGAGTACTTTCATATCTAGGGCGCTGAGGATTGCTCTCTAGGCTTACCGCGCAAGTTATTGCCTATGTGTTTCTCAAAGTTGCAGTCAGGCTCGAAGGTTCATAGTCTTGTGAAGAAGAAACACGGTTCTCAATTAACAGGCGACGGCAGGTATTCGGAAGAGCATCCTATCATTTTATGTACGTGCTAGCATAATATTTCCGTCACCTAGCCGCCGAATGGGGAAGAGTCCCTTTGCTGCCACACCTCGTCTCCCCGATAGTCCTTCCCATAGACGTGTCCACCCAGTTTCCCTCTTCCAGCTCACTGCCGGTTATCAGCCGATCATCGCCCGGCTCAGAAAACAGCACGTTTTCTTTGCCACAGGGCCAGTCATACTCACTCCAGCATTTTTTATATGCCCAAGGGAAAAAGCCGTCTTCGCAAAGTATGTGGACCTCCTTCAAGTTCTTACAGGCTCCAAGCGATGCCCTAGCAGCCACGTCCTCATAAGCCCAGTCCCACAATTCGTATCTAAGTTTAAGCCTCTGTATCGACGCCGCAGCAGGCCAGAACTTGCCGAGAAAGTCTTGGTATCCCACATCGATCATGTCGATCTCCAGGTTCAGCCAGACGTAGCGGCTCTCGCCGCCCTCCGGCAGGATCTCAAGCTCGGAGAAGGTCTTTTGTACAGACCGAGATTGCGGGCTTCTCGGCAGCTCTGTATCGGTGCTGGCACCGGAGTAGGCGACCGCAAGTGCTGGCTCCATAGCTTCTTGGGCTCGAGAGGGTCCTCGAACCTCTCCAGATCGAATACCCATGGTGGCAGAGCTAGCCGCGGGGGTCTATTGATCGATGTCTCCCTGTGGAAGAAGTCAATTTAACGAAGCGAGGCTCGACGGTGAGTTCCCATACCCGAGCACGGAGCTCCCATGGGAGTTTGGGGAAGAGAGGGAAAGTCGTGGCGGCCATGCTTGCTTGCTCGGACTCGATTGGGGTTTCTGTTGTCGTCTTGTCGTCTTGCCCCTGTTTGGCTGCTGGAGGCACCATCGGTCCCTGGTTCAATCGTGTGAACTGTTCGCTTATTAGCACATATGGTTTGAGTCTGACAGTGGTGCGCTGCAAATAAGTGATCTTTCTCACTTCGGAATCCGTGGTGTTGATTATGGGCCTGCCTTGTTTAGGAACCTCGGATTCACGAGTGGGTTCTTGATATGCCGGGCTTTGTTTGTCAGATGACAGGTACAAATAGAAAACTTATGAGAGAAAAAGATATCATCCTGATAATGGTTCGTGAAGTGTTGAGGAGATGGCGCAGGCTACTTGTAAGAACCCTTTGCCAAAATGCCAAGAACCCACTAACCAGGCAGCAGTAGGCAGTAGTAGTACTAATCCCGATGTTGACTGCTCATTTCCTTGAAGCCGGTGTGCAATCCCTACTCGATAGTAAAGCGCTTTGACGTCAATTAGCAAAAGGCCATGCCCCTTGAAAACGAAAAATATGGGAAAAGAGATGTGTTGTCAAGGTCATGCAGCAATATTCGCATATTGAATATAAGCTCTGGCCCAGGGTAAATCTTCCATCAAACAAAAACCATTCGGCGTGGTGGCAGAGTGGTCTAATGCGCAAGACTAGAAATCTTGTTCCTTCGGGAGCGTCTGTTCGAATCAGGCCCACGTCGCACGATGACCATTGTCAACTTCTTTTTTGTCTTTTTCTTTCTCATGCTTTCATGATTATGGGTTGCCATTACCTTTTTTTTCTCGTTTGCTTTTTTTTTTTTCCTCTTTGCTTTTCACAAATTCTGTCACGACTTCGCGATGTTGTTAGGTCATTTGCTAATACTGGAGTCAGGATCGGTGCACTTTTTTCAGGTGAGTACACTTGTCTCCTTTTGTTGCTGGTTTGTTTTTGTAACTTGATATCCAGAACAAGGACTAGTTGTAATGACTAGGTACGGATGTGAAAGGTATTAAGAAAGATTGGACATAAGTTTATCAAATTTCCCAACGGCATGTGCGAGGGAAGACTATGCCTTGGTTGTAGAGTAAAACGGTTCAATTACTCATATAAATGCCCGGGAAGTTGACCAGAGGGTTCGGAGCCAACAAATAGACAGGTATTAGATTGTATTCTTCAATGTCATATCTTGACATACAACACAAGGTTTGACCATAAATGCACACCAAGTATTCAACTATAACTGTTAAGAACGGTTCAATGGGGTATAAATAGGCATGTCTACATCAATGAGCCAAGTACTTGATCCGTCAAGACCAACGGTTCATACCGCTGTCCCGAAACCCCATGTACGGATGTATCCAACAACAAAGTGATACAATAGCTAGCTTCAAAAGAAATCCCGACAACGCCTGTAAGTGCAACAAACACAAAAACACATTTACCTCCGCTATGCATTAGTCCTCCATCACACAGCGTACACCACATGTGGGACACACGTCATCATCGTCGAGTCCTACACCGTTCCCCAACTAAGCAAACGTCCACTTCCTCGCCATGTCTCGCATCGAAGACCGACGTGCTGAAAATCGTGGCACTAGGGTCACCGGTAGGGTCACCACCAACATGCCGTCCTCTTACCACTGTCGTGGTTCCATCTTCCCACTTTCCATCTTCGTCCTTCTTGCAAACCAGACATTCACCACTCTCATCATACTCCGTCTCATTACCCCCCGTTATCCCCGACAACGGCCCCGAAAACGTGACTCCCCCCAAAGGAACCTGTCTACCCTCGTCATTGTGCTCACACACCCGCCCAGAGTAGGACAGAACGGCAAAGCCATGTGATCGGTACCAAGCATTTCCGTCTTGAGTTCGAGCGTGAAGATGATTTCGCCCAGTAGTCCAACCGGAGACTGAGCCTGGGGCTCATGCTGCACGGGCTTTTGTTGTTCATCACCGTGATCGGTGTCGAGGCCACCAAGAACATCACGAAGAAGCTGTTTCCTTTCGGCAATGTCGTCGTGCTGGACCAGCAAGGCGATGTCCATGTCTTCTTTTGCGTAGTAAGCGAGGTGGTGGGCGCGGGGTGGGTCGCGGGTGCAGTATTTGAGGGAGGGAAGTTCTATCTCGGGTTCGGTATCGTTTTCGTCTTCGGTGTCGGTATCGGTGACATCATCGTTATCCTCAGGATCGGATAAGGACTTGAGATCGAGCAGCGTCATGTTGAGACAGCCACCTGGCGCTTCCGCGCTGGCATGGCTACGGTCGAGAATGGTGAAATCGAGTCGCTCGCCGGCCTTGGCCGAGTAGGAGAAGATCTTCTTGGAAACCTCGGCGTTGAGAATGTCTCCGATGGCCATGCCCGTGGTGACGGGTATGGGAAGCGCTTCGCCCTCGTCGGTGTCGCCGGCGCCCGAGCCGTCGGTGACGGTGAGACCGCGGTTGGTGACGAAGTCGATGAAGTCCTTGGCTCTCTGCTCTCCGTGGTGCATGTTAAGGAAGGAGAAGGTCCCGCCTGTCTTGAGCACGGAGGAGATGACCCCGTTACCGGGAAGGCACTCGACTGATGATGCATTGCTGCGGGCGAACGATTGGAGGGGCAGAAGCGGCGGGTTGATGCACCCATAGTGCACGCGGATATCCTCGCTTGATGCCCTCTCGATCTGCTGCAGCACTTCGTGGACATCGTCTTCATCCTCAATGCCGGCAGTAAGCAGGAGGATGGCGCCTCGTTCGGTGTGTTCTCCGTCCGGCTTTGCCCTCAGGATCTCGTCAATAGCCATGGAAAGCCCGACGCCGATATCGGCCTTTCCGTCATGGATCGGGGCCGTCATATGGGCGGGCAGGCGAGTTGTCGTGTTCGGGGGATGGTGGACGTTTTCGTTGAACGGTCTCATTGTGCCGTTGGTCCAGTGGATTCCCTCCAGGTTCAGATAAGCCGGGCTCTCCATGGGATAGACCACCCGTGCGCTCTCTGCGAACTCCACGACCGTCATCATATTGTGCAGACCACTGCTGGTCTCCATCTTGACAGCCAAGCTCATCGCCACCTGCCTCTCCAGCTGCAACACCCCGTTCTGTCTCGCCTGAGTAGACAGATCAATCACGACGGCCACACTACGCGGTATGCAGTCCCTGACCGGATCGTCCCTGACCAAGGCGCAGATCATCAAATCGCCCTTTTCCGCACCGTATATATCCCGCAACTCCTCCCTCAACGCCTTCCAAGCATTGCGCGAATCCTCCACCGCGGCCATGACCGCTCTCTTAAAGTTCTCCTCGCTCGCCTTCTCCGTCCTCGGCGTACCGGGCCCAATCTCGCCAAATGTTCCATCAAGATACACCACCCCGTGGTCCTTGTTCATCGTATGATGCGATACCCTCCCCTCGCAATTGCTCCTCCCCGGGGTCGCATCCGGCACCACGAAGCAGCCCGTACTCAGATTCCTCGGCACCAGTTCCCTCGGAATCTCCCCGTGGGCGCGCAGGTCCAAAAACGGTGCGGTATCGTTTCTCCCCAAGCCCGGCGGGTTAGCCACGCCGATAGGCTGCGACGCATCGTGCTCGTCAGCCCAGTTGCTGTGCGCATAAAAATCCTGTACACCGTGCAGGGCACGACCCAATGCCTCGATGGTGGCGCACTTTGCGCGCGCAAACGTGTTGATGTGCAACGGGGAGAAGGCAAAGCGACAATCACCGCCGGCAAAGGGCGACAGGTCGACCATGTCCCTGCGAATGCGCAGCTGGCCCTTTTTCTGGAGATGCGCGCTCCCTTCTGCGTTGGTCACCTCCTCGTCCAGCTCGATCAGGTCCGTGGCGCTCTTCCACGCTTGCTTGAACCGGCCGCGGATGTGGTCCACGCACGTCTGCAATGCCTGGGTTGCCTGCTCGCGGGTTCGGGGGTAGCCGGGGATATCGATAAAGTCGGCATCGTCGCAGTGGGCTTCGGGACCTTCGGGAACCGGGTCGAGCGTGTCGGGGGCGCCGACGGCACCGTTGGTGCCGCCTCCCGGGATGGGGAAGCCTTGCACGTCGAAGTGCGTACCGGCTAGCTGGTCGAGCGAGCGGGGTTCGAAGCAGATGCCGTCGGATTTGACGTTGATGATATTGCCAGTGCTCGCGCCGGGACACTGGAAGGCCAGGCGGGTGATCATTTCGTGCTCATTGTGCTGGCCGAGCACGATGGGCTCGTTGATGGTGCCGAAGGAGTGGACGCATGTTGTAAAAATGGCGAGTTGAAGGAGTGTTGTTGCCAGCGCATTTGCGGCGCTTTCAGGGCGCCTAGGGACAAAGTTAGTCTAGGCTTGTATGAGAAGTAAACCCTTGGTAGAGTAACTGAGGTTGGGGTTGGGCTTGAGAACGTACGTACCGAAGAGGTCCTAACATGTCTCAAAGAGCGGTTTATGATATGAGAACACACGAGTAACCGAAAGTTCGTGCGACCAAATAAATCCATGTTATGCAGAGCTCGGACGAGTTGGGCTGGCACAGAGTTTGAGATCACCTTGTCATCCCTTGTCTGAGCCGCGACACGTGTTGCTGATGAGTAGACAGACCGAAAAAAAGAAAAGACTCGGGAAGAGCGAATAAGGAGTACTTTGATCCGACTTTGAGAAAACTCAATGGAAACAACGCAGTCCAAGTCTAGAGAAGAATCTGGGACATAAAGGAGCAACCTCGACTTTTCAAGGTATGACAAAGCCTTGGTTTTTGGGTCAAGCGACCCGGCAGGCGGATAATGGTGGGACATGAAATGTGCGGGAGTCTTCATGGCCACTGGCTAGAAACAGCCGTTGCACGTGGATATGCCGGTCATTGACTTGACATGTGGCTCCGATGATCAGGTACCATTTCCCTGCCAGGAGCCCTTTTTAGTGGTGGTAGTGCCGGGCACTCCGATGTTAAGCTTCCAGTTTACGGCTTGGAACTATGTAGCCAAGTTTTGCTATTTTCTCCATTCGTCTTCATGTTCTTCGTTGCAATTGTTTACCGCAAAGTTCCAGATTCGGTATAGTGGAATCTAGACCCCTATGACGTATGCGACAATGCCTCATCATTCTAGTGTACGGTTGCACACAGTTCGTTCGGCCAAGTGTTTCTGGGCACGTGAAAGCGAGCTGGGAGTTAACTACTTTGCCGCCCCGAAATTAAGAAAATCGGGCGCCGAAGAACAGAGATCACCGGATCGGATAGGGCGCTCCGGACCGGCCTTCGAAGACCGAGTGGGTCTGACACCGGGTGTAAGTTGTTACACGGTATGGTATGTACCAAGTAGCATTTTCAGTCCAAATGATCTGATCTGATAAAGTTCAAGATGGCACTGGATTAATCGGGCTCTGAATAGACAACAGTAACCCCTCTCTGGGGTCACCTCTTGTCAGCGAAACATTACTCCTCTTATCATCTCGTGATGGTTCGGGTTGGGTTGAAGCGATGCGATGACATCTGAGGCAAGGCGAGGTATACAGAATTAGACAGCAATAATACATTCGGGCTAAACATTCAAGGGGCTTTTGCCGCCTCCAGGATGTTGTTGGTTCCAAGAGACTGTAAGGGAGCGGTTGAGTTAGAGGTCCTTAGAACTAACACAACACCCTTTGGAGATATAAGCCACAACAGACAATACCTTTAGTGAAACTACACCAACGGGCTGAGTTGGTTCTCTGGATAAGACTTATATTACCAACATGAATACCACGGTCCAACTAACAATCCCTTGGCCTAACAGCGCCGCACCTCATTTCAGCTACACGAACAGCCCTAGTCCCCTACCTGAATACTATATTTCAACGACATGGGTACCATGTTCCAACAACGTCGTAGCTTGATTGGAGAACAAAGAAAGCGTTATCCAGGCTTCCCCCCTCCTAGCAATCTTCTTGACGAAGATCAGTCCTTTCCATCTCTTGTTATTGATTTGACCTTCGACAATGAACCCCCGCTCCTTAAGTATCATCAGGTTTATGTCCGTTCGAGCGAATACTCCCCGGCCCCACCCTCCTCACCAAAACCTGATAAAAGGCATTGTCCGCCGTCCAGCAGCATTAGTGCTAATCAGGCCCGAAACCGAAGGTTGAATAGGTCCAATAGGTTGACCGCTCGAGATCGAAAGAACCGCGCTCGACGTTCCGTTCCCTGTAGATCCATCCAGTCCAGCAGACCCAGTTGTTAGCGAATTTCTTTCTCCTTCCATTATGATCCTCACTCTCTAACCACCAGCCGAATTGCCCCAACCAACGAAGGAAAGCGCAAAAAGAAAAGAAAAAGGACTCACCAAATCCACCCCCTGTTGTTGTTGTTTTTGTTGTTGTTATTGTCGCACCCACCCCATTATCCTCCGAACCCGAACACCCTCCGGCCTCCGACACAACCTTATATAACGTCTTACACCCGCCCGGCAACGCATCACACCCTTTTTCGCATCCCCACGACTGGAACACCGTCATCGGTGGGTTCGCGCACGTGCAGCCTACCGTGACGGTCTTCTCGGTGACGCAGTCGATGGTCATGCAGGTTGAGCAGACGCTGGCCGTCGAGATGATAATGGGACACTCGGAGACGCGGCCGGTCGGCACGTCGGTGGGCTCATTGTTTGTTGTAGTCCCCACTACCGTTGTTGCTGTGGGTTGTGGTAGGAGAGGGTTGGTGAGCGGGGTGGTAATGATGCTGTTGGTGGCGGTTGAGGTTTGGAGGGATTGAGTTTGGGCTTTTGTGGCTCTGTGAGGGCGAGGAGCGGTTAGGCGACGTGTTAGAGGAGGTTTGTTTTTGATGGAAACTTACAGCGCCAGAGAGACCACGATGAGGCTGGCGAAGGACTGCATCTTTAGGGATAGATGTTGCGAATCTGTATATCGTTTCGATCTTGTTGGCTCAATCGAGGAATTTCGTGGTGCAGACCGTGGAGGCTTGATGATAGTTTGATTGAACTCTGCTAGAAAGACGTTAAAACGATGCGGAATCGGTTATGCCTCTGCTTGTGGCTCTACATGGAAGGCGTTCATGGCCAGTAAGTCTCGGGCTCTAAGCTTATACGTGGCAGGCGCAGTTGCGAACCGTCGTCAAGCGTGTCGTTGCTGTGCCTTTCGAACCCCCAATCATTTGATAGGCAGCTACCAAGGAAGCCCCAAATCTTACATGATTTACTTCAACTCGATCGCTTTGGGCAGCGACATTGGTGATATATTTGAAGCCCCTCATCTGATCGTGAGGCAGTCTGATCTCCGGCGCCCAAGCGCGAGGCTGTACGTCATGGTGAACCAAGTCCGTGACACAGGTAAATCCGTGATACGGAGGGCAACTGCGACCTGGTCCGTTGTAGCAGCAAGCGGCTGAAGCGGGGTACGCTAGAGTTGTAAGTGACAGGCGGGACTCTGAGCTGAACGAGGGAAGGAGCACCTGGCAATAGTTATCAGCTTATTTCAGCTGCGACGTCTGATGTAGATATCGGCATGTCAATTTCGACGACACGCTTCCATCATGTGCTAAGGGAGCGCGCTCTACGCAGTCGTGAAGAACGCCACTTGGTGGCCTTGAGCCGTGACAATGGCTGGATAGTAAATATCCCAATTCAATGCCTGTAGACAAACCCAAGTTGCTATGCGATCTGACACATGCCCGTGTAAGACATGGTAACTCGACGGCATTGTCACACGGAGGACAGCATATTGTGAAGAGCAAACTCACTAAAGACGTGACACTTCGGATCGGCGTTAGCAAATGCCTTGACGTAATATCAGAGACCTACCGTTTCACCTTCGAGGCCGTGAAAGACGTGACACATCCGCGATGGCGTGAATACAATTAGAAGAGCAAGCGTCTCTCACTTGCGATCCCAACTACTACCCGTGGCACAAATTATATGATGGTCCTGTTTCATGGGAGGAGTATGGCGAGCCGGGTTTGTGATGCCATCACGACGATACTGGAAAGACATCTTCTCGAGTAAGCACATGTGATGGTGATAAGGTGAGAGAGGACTTACATATGATTTGTACCACAATGCGCTCGCCTCTTCACATGTTTGAAGGCATCAATCGCGTTCGTTCCTTCACGTTCCCTACCCTTCACCATGTTCTTCCCACCTCATAATTCCACATTCAAGTCAATGATCTTCAGCGGAGAGGATTCCACAAGACATACCGCTGATGACCATCCCATGAGATTCTGAAGCGTCCAGCTGCAGCCCATTTGGTAATCAGAACAAATCTCATTGATAGTCCTACCCCGAAGGTCAGATCGTGATGACCTTCTATTGACCCACTGACATGAAATTTAGAATATCAAACGTTCTGCAATGTAGAGATATAACGCGCAGAGTAACACCTACCACGGCCACAAGCTGACAAGAACGGAACATATGCCGTGATATCCGTCGCAAATGCAGATACCCCTGAGGATGATTGACCCTATCACGTCCCAAACTTCTTGAATCACGCCACGAAAACGGTACGGCGGAGTCCCAGGACTAGCGACGGCGCGGAGAGGCCAATGAAACGAGAGTTTTGCATACAATTGGGAAGAGAAGATGTATCGCGGGGCTTGGCGGGTACAAAACACTGCGGGAACGACGGGGAATTGACGAAATTGCTGATTTCAAGATAAGCATACCCAGTTTGCCTCTTCAGAATAGTTTTTGGAGGCCTCTTCGAAAATACCCTTGTTGTTGTTGTTGTTGTTGTTGTTGGACTGAAAAGCAGAATAGCCGAAAGCACATGTAAGAAAAATACAGCGTAGCCGTTCAACCGGCATGGCTTTGTAACGTCTCTGAAGGGAAAGTGGGCTGTCCTCCTGTGGCTGTTGAAGCATCCACAAGTAACCCTTCCACATGCTACAGCCAGCGTAATTCAGCAAAGAGAGCATTGAACTTCCAACATATCCAAGATCCAGCTTGATTTCCTCCACGTGTCAGACCATGCTCGCATATCTCCTCAACGGTGCCACTTCATCACATCAATGAAGCAGGCTGAAGCGACGAGGTTTGAATCCACTTGGATCTCCAGAAGATCCCATTCCCCCACAGATAGGAAGCTGTAAGTCCGGGGTGGATCAGCAATTTGCGGGGTAGTAGCGCGTCCGGGTTCAGTTTTACCTATCCGCTCCATCAACTCCATCTCCCGCCGGTCACCTCCAACTATTGAAGCAACAACCATCGCGACTGGCGAGTGTGTGTTCCAGCCCAAGGCGAATTGCAAATAGATAGGCATGACGGTAACGGGGCCAGAGATATATGTCTTGTTAAGAGGGCATTTGAGAGGTGTCGATGCTCAGACTTGAGCTCGACTAGATATGTCGCTCGGCTGCACAAGGTCGGACAAATATCCACAAAAGGGATGCTTAGGATCATGGTCAACCTCGCAGCAAACCGGAAGGCGCCAGGCTGAAGAAACCAACCCAAGCCCTGCCAAGATCGCCAATGCTCTTGCTAAGATCCCACAGCCTTCCGGCGTTCCGTCATAGCCTAACTCGATGTCTGAAGCTGGTGGACCTGGCAGGCCGTCGACAAAGCTGGGAAAAGGATCAAAAAGCCAAGCCTCCCAAAGATCGTTGGTCAGGGAGGGGTCGGCAACTTCAGGGATCGCGCGGGTACATGGCATTCAGTTTATCCGATGAGACAGGGTAGGTGCCATTCGGATAGTAAAAGTAAGCTGGCGAAACCTGGTTCGGACCGTTTATAAGAGACGGCAAGACGGGCGACGCGGCTGCCCGATCATCAATGTAGGTCCACTGGGCCTTGATGGTCGGACAAAGTTCCTGAATGGAATCTGGATAGGGATTTCGGGGCGTTGCGGTCCTGCCCGTACGCTGCGTTCTCCCAAACGGCGGAAAACACGGCGGAGAACGGGGAATAGAATGGGAGCAACGGGCCGCCCACCGTATTCCGTCCCTGTCCGGCGGTGTTATGTTCATCCTTGACAGGAGATACGCCGAAATAACCAAGCGAGGGAGTATTGAGGCGACGTCTAAGTAAAGCGTTGGGGAATATCAACTCAGACAAAGTTAAGAACCGCTCAGGAGACACTGTCTCGAGACTGCGAGCATCACCAGCTTGTGACGGTATACTGTGTAGACGCGGGAAGAAACAGGGCAGAGTCGACCGAATATCGTGAAGTGACCTGATTTCGAGCTTCAGGTGGTTGCTTTGCTGTGGCCGCTGTCTCGGAATCTCGCACACCATCTTGTTCGGATAACGAAACGAGATATGGATTAACAGAGCCCCAAGGACAAGAAACAAGATGCCACTAGGCAACGTGGTTAAGATGCAAAAGTGGCCTGAGGATCGACAGGTAAGCAGAGACCTGACCTATCTGGTATTTTGTAAATCTGCAATGCCCCATTTAGAATGGTTTGTTAGCCATAATATGGAATGAATGGGTGCGGTTCCCGCTGCCGAGTATATGCAAAAGACACGGATAACTCGACTGGAAACAGCAAAAACACCGCCCAACCGGAAGCCCACTTGAGACTTGATCATCTCCATCAGAATTGGTTGGCGCCCATCCTTGCCATGTCGTGGATGCAGGGCAGCGAGAAAGAGGAAATAGATCGCCTGCCTCGGGTAGGCAAGTAGGGAAAAGGATAAAGGGGACCGTTTTGATCGATACCGTGAGATTTTTGGCCCTGTGAGGAGTGAAGAGTACCTGAAGTGAAATGCTGTGAAATGTGAGTCCCTGGTGGTCCCACCTAACACAGCCTGTGATGAGAGAAACGGGAGGCTTGTGAGAGAGAGAATAGAAGAGGGTGTGGTAGGACAAGAGGAAGATCCCCAATGTTTGATTGAGATTGGTGGGGGTGAAGGCGTGGACCCTCGATGCCCTCATCTCCCTGGACACATGGCCGGCGAAGCTTAGCCTTTTCTCCGAACGGTTTCCATGTGTTCCAGGTGGTCAACGGTTCGTCGTCAAATCCGGGTGAGCGTCAGATTACCTCTACTGTACTGGACTGCTGAGGACGGTGTGGTGATCGAAGTCCGTTTGGTCCATCTTGGACCTGTAAATCCCTTCCCTGAGTGGATGTATCAGAGACACTTCACCGCGTGCGAGCCGTCGCGATTCGTGTACCCCAAGGCACCGTGTTTGTATGTGTTGACCGAGAGCTAGATAGTCAGGAATCGTGGCGGGTGAAAAGGTTAGCAAGACCCATCTAGAAGTCTGCAAAGAAACCGGTGGAGTAAGTAATATCATGTAGTTGCCCCTTTGTGGTTGCATGTCGCATACTCATCCGTGGTTGCTGCTAGGACATGGTGAAAGCGGTCAAAAAAAATGATGAGAAATACGACAACGGGAAGACAGACAGACGCGAAGTCATACCACTTGCGTACAGGCAGATTATGAGATAACGCCTACATGGCAATAAATGCAGAGCAAAGCGACAAACACAATGGTCACTGGGGGGGGTTTGGTTGACTGGCATCACCGGCTTCGTTGGAGTGTGTGTGTATGGGGGTGGGGTGTGGTATCGTGAGTCGAAGAAGCGGAGGATGGCCGCATGTTGCGAGTTGTTGACCGCTTGTTGCCTGTTTTCCGCAAAGGATGATATCAGACGCCAAGACAGAAACTCACGATGTCAATCGACAGTCGCGTTGGGAGTCGCAATCGCCGTGAATGTTGTTCGTTCTTGCCGCACGTCATGCTGGGGATCGCGGTGGACTTTTGGTGGGCTTAGCGGACATTTT